CTATGAATTCTGAAGTTTTTTCTGTCGGACCTTCGCACGCAGATACTATAGGTCTACCGGATTGTTAGCTTTGTGTATTTTAGGTAGCATGAAAATATAGGTGTTCTACAGTTTTTAGGTTGTAGGTATGTAATAGCTTCCTTACTGAGTAAACTGTATTTCTTAAGGTAGTTGAGAAAAGAGGTGATTTCAAAGGCAATTTTAGTAGTGAGATCTTTCGGTACTTCTCTATAAAACTGTTTATCATTTAATTGACGTAAGCCTTCAGATATGTAGTCGGTTTTGTTAAGTATTACAATGGCACCACCTTTATCGGCCGGTTTTATTATTATTTCTTTGTTATTCCGCAATGATGTAAGAGCCAATCTTTCATCTTGAGTAATATTTGCTTTATTGCCTGGTTTGCCTTTATATCCTAGTAGTTGTTGATTTGTGCAAGCGATATAGGATTCTAGTTCGAGCGATTTTCCTGGTGGGGGGGTCCAGCCGGAGCTTTGCTTAAAAGGGTTTTGTTCATATACTCATGTGTCTTCTTGAAAATGGTGTGCAAGGCATATCCTACGATTGAAAAGTAAAATATCTCTTTCATATTCAATTCTGTCAATGTATGTAGGAGTAGGGCAAAAAGATAGACCTTTGCTTAAGAGCGTGATTTGTGGTAATGATAATTTCTTTAATCATGTTTTTAATCATGATTAATAACTTCATAAGGAATTGTAAACAGACGCATGTAAAGAAAATGACGTCAGGCTTTCAACGGCAACGCGTACGCTGCGCAAACAAAAATAAGTACAGCTGAGAGTAATCAATGCGGTGTTCCTTTTTGATATTGTAATACAATAAGATTAAAAAACTTGAATCAAGAATTATGTCATATGAACAAAAAGCAACTATATATTTTTATGTAAATTTAGAAATTTACGGAAATTCAATCATAAATTAATATGTAGTCTACAAGAAATTCTGCAAATCTATACATTTTGCACTACCTGCACTATGAGTGATATACTGTGAGTATTTTATTTCACCTATTAAAAACCAGAATTTGAATTTCACTTGTAATCAAACTATTGCAACAATTTGACAGAAATGGCGAAATATTGACACATTAAAATATACGGTTCATAAATGAAATTTAGTCAATTATATTAGGGTGAAGCAACAGTCATGCTTGAAACGTTAGCTTAGTGGGTGTTGGATTACAGATGTAGCACGTTCGATTCTACAAGTAAATAAACATCTTTAATACATTTTTTTCTCGTTTTGCTTATCATTTTAGAATATCATAATGTTAAAAATAACGATTAATTGAGGATTCACCATAAACGCTGTATTAAACACATTACTATCAAATCGGCCTTTGCAAATATTCATTATTCACTGTATAGCTAAATTTATGGTAGGATTTATTTTGAACAGGAAAATTTAGAAACAGTACTCTAAACATTAAATATAATGAAACGCTGTAAATACACGTCAGAACATATACGCGAACCGGCGGCCTGCACAAAGGAGTGTTGCGTTGTACATCTTTATACAAAATAAAGATATTTCAATATATATTGTCATTATTTTTGTCTGTACATGCTACGGGAACTGTAAAGGATCTGTAGATGTTTCACTAACCATTTAATCAGTATGCAACTGACATGTTAATAAAACCGAGAAATATTACATTTTACTCAAAGTTTTACTATTTAATGTTATTCTGACAGATGTCAGATCAGACTATTATTTCTTTCCTCTTGTAGAAAGTGGGTAATTCTGAAGGACATCTTTATTTTCTGTTTTATATACAAAATCTGTATTTACAAGAATAAAAAAAATCATATTTTGGTAATATCTGACCGTGTAATTAACAAAAATACGCATTTTAGTAAATACGGACTTCATTCAAAGTTCCCGCATATTACAAGCAGGGTTGCCAGCAGACTTGAAAAGTCAGGGAAATCTGATATTTTTTCAAGGTCAGGGAATTGTCAGGGAATTTTGAAAATTGGTCAGTGAAGAATAAAAATCCTAAAAAGTCAGGGAAAAGTCAGGGAAAAATAATTTTGAAGAATTTTCCTTATATGTATAAAGTAAAAACTGGAAAAAAAAACATGTTCACCTCTTTTAAGAGCTAGAGCTTAAATATTAAGCATGTAACATCTTCAGTGAGTGTCTACCAATTTTGTACAAATAAAAGCCTTTGGGTCAAAATTTGCCCAGTCAAGGGGGTCATTGATTTTCCTTATATGTTTATATAAACTTAAAAATTCTTGTAACAAACCCAAAAGAGCTAGACTTTAGATATTAAGCATGAAACATTTTCTAGTGTGTGTCTACCAAGTTTGTTCAAATAAAAGTCCTTGGGTCAAAATAAGCCCCACCCCAGGGGGTTACTGATTTTCCTTTTATGTACATAGTAAAAAAACCCACAATATCTTCTTTGAAAAACCCAAAGAGGTAGAGCTGTGATATTTGGCATGAAACATCTTTTAGTAAGTGTGTAACAAGTTTGTTAAAATAAAAGCCCTGGGGTCAAAACTGGTCCAGTCATGGGGGTCATTAATTTTCCTTATATGTATATATAGTAAAAACTAAAAAGTCTTCTTTTAAAAAACAAAAGAGCTAGAGCTTAGATATTTGGCATGAAACATTTTCCAATGGGTGTTTACCAACTTTGTTCAAATAAAAGCCCTGGTGTCAAAATTATTCTTGTTCATGGAGAGTTTTTATATTAAGATGAGTAATTTCAGGGCCATCATGACCCTCTTGTTATTAATTATATTGGCTATGGCAGTATTCTTTAGCTCAAGATAATAGTTTTGCTTCAGACTTGATCTTATCAAAAACATTTTACTGAACACAAAACTACCAAACTTAGATGTATAAAGCATGTTTTTTAAAAGCATTAAAAAAAAACAACAAAAAAACTTATGGGTGCAGGGCTTTTTTTCACAGGTTGGGGAAGCAGCCCTTCCCCTAATTTTGGGGATACATTAATGGTATATTTGCAAAAGGGGAAGAAAAAACTTGATGTAAATTATATTTTGTGGGAAAACTGCATGATTTTAAAGAATTTCTTTTTGGGGAAACAGTCCTATCATGGCCCCTGCTATAGAAGGAAAAAAGCCCTGGGGTGAATTGGACAGCTGTAGGGGAGGTGGAGACCGTTTAAGTTTTGTAGTTTTAGTCAGTGAAAAACCTAATTTGGTCAGTGAAAAGTCAGGGAAAAGTCAGGGAATTTTATTTATCTATGATGCTGGCAACCCTGACAAGTGTACGGATCACGGTATATTAGTCATACGTATTGCATGATATACGGTCCCGTACATCAAATTTCACTTATTTTTACCTGTCTATCTATAATATACGGAATTCCGTACCCTTTATTGTATCCATATATTTTCCGCAGTGGTCATAATAGCGTAAAATGCCGTAAAAAACGGGATTTTGACACAGGGCGATCGTTTTAATAACATCAAAAAACCAAACGCCCCGTGATAGCGTGACTTTTATCCAAAGGGGTGGGGGAAATAAAATCACGTGTATCGAAAAAACTGAGTCGGTGACCCCCTAATATCTTTAGTTATTTTGACTAAGTATACATTTTAAAGGACGTTTAAAGAAAAAATTCAAAAATTTATTTCAGGATTTTTTTAATAAGCCGCTTTAAAGCATAAAAATGCGGCTAAACTGAACGTCAAATTTTACACAAAATTGACAACTTTCTTTCCTTTACTCAAACAATTTTCGGTGTAAAACGATAAATTTTATATCAGTTTAAAGGAAAAAGTAATTTCCGTCGAATGCTTTAGAATTTAAGATATTTTGTCCGCCAATGGCGTTGAAATAACCGTAACAGTTGCCAAGGATATGCAAAGACGTCGTGTTCAAAAACGGGCTTTGACGCCGTGTGTACAAAAATTGGCTGAAACTATTGCAATAAAATCATTGGAACCTAATCAGAAATATGGTCAACTTTTTGCATGCCAATTTTCAAGACGTTACTCGAAAGTTCGCAAAGTGTCGCGTTCTACCTTAAGCACGAAACATGTTCTAGTAAGTGTCTACAAAGTTTGTTCAAATAAAAGCCCTGGGGTCAAAACTGGCCCCGCCCCAGGGGTGTCATTGTTTTAACTATATGTGTATAGTAAAAACTTAAAAAATCTTCTTTAAAAAAACACAATGAGCTACAGCTTAGATGTTTAGCATGAAACATCTTCTTATGGGTGTCTACCAAGTTTGTTCAAATAAAAGCCCTAGGTTAAAATTGGCCCTGCCGGGGGTAGGGGAGGGCAGATCATTGTTTTTCATTATAAGTGTGTACATCATGAAACGTCTTCTTATAGGTGTCTTCCAAGTTTGTTCAAATAAAAGCCCTGGGGTTTAAACTGGCCCCGCTCCGGGGGCCTACATACAGGTGAGCGACCTTAGGGCCATCATGGCCCTCTTGTTTTTTGTTGGAAAAATAATTTTGTATTGTTTCAAACAAAGTATTTCAGTAATTTTACCTTGAAAAAGTAAAGTGCATCATATCACTGTTAAGCCTTCTTAAAAATAGCGTCCAGCATAGAGCTATTTATAGAGCGTCAAATATGTTGTTTCTAAAAATAGAAGATTGGGGAACAAATTGTCTGCTTTACTAATTCACATATTGACAGCAGACTATTGTTTATGTATTTTATCAACAGCGTTTTCCACTTTCTTTTTGTTTTGACAAATATATAAAAAGATTTGTCTAAAAATAATATAATTTACCTTTAGGAAAGCTGAAGGCTGTTTAAAAAAAGATATTGTTAAAAATATGACCTTAGACTTGCTACGACTGGTAAGTACTGGACTGGTCCACAGACCTCTATTAGAACATTTAACATTGTTTGTGATTGGTAGAACATAGCCCAAATTGAAATACTCGTGTATAATTATTTTCATATTTATATGATATTGTTTAATATATCAATATTTAGAGCATTGAAATTACTTACATATTATAACCTTGACAGTAAACACATGTTCTAGTCGCACCAATAAGGAAGGTTCTACGATTCAATGACCTTGAACCAGCAGAGATGTCCGATATGTTCCAGGTGGTCAGCTCGGTCTCTAAAGTTGTAGAGAAACACTTTAAAGGAACGTCACTTACTCTCAGTGTTCAAGATGGACCAGAGGCTGGACAGACTGTTCAGGTATATATAAATAACTATACTATATGTACCAGTAATTGATCTGCAGTTGTATTCAAATGTACAAGAGTGTAATTTATAGTAAATAGATACCCAATTTTTGAAAGAGTTATCAATTGTGTGTAAGTAAGATGAATTTTTATTGTTGTGGAATAAGCTTTCATGAACTGTTGAAAAAATTCGGACATTTGGGTTTTTATGGCATTATTTTATATAATTGAAAAAAAAAACTACTTTAAGGTATTACTTTTGTGATACAAGACACTTAAGACAAAAGTTAGTAGTGCCCTGATGCACCCATAGAAAAAGTCCTAAGTTAAGTCTTAAAATTGTACTTAGGACTTTTCTTGAAACACAGTTAAATCACAGTTTTGCACTTAAGGTAAAATTGGTCCTAAGATTCTTTGTGAAACGCACCCCTGAGGTCTTCCTCTACCAGTAAAGCTGGAATATTGCTATATGACAATGGCTGTGCAACTTTAAATCCAACAAAACAAACTTTATGGATTAAATTTAGGCTTTGTTTCAGGTGGCAAATAGTATGGTTAAAAAGACAGTTGTTTCATTATTTAGTCTATCGTCGACTTTTTTCTTTACAGCATGTTCATGTTCATGTATTACCAAGGAAAGCTGGAGATTTTGTTGAGAACGATGATGTTTATAAAGAGGTATATTTATTTTGCATGTTTATCTATCTATTTTCATGATAAATGACTTTTTATAAGTTGTTTGTTGTTGGAAGCAAAAACTGCAGATTTTAAAGTAATATTACGACCCCTGTCTTAGAAGTTATCCAACTTATAGGCAGGTAAATATTGTATTGTAAATGTACAGGGCTTTGAATAATATGCCCCGACATCTGTTTATTTGAATACTAGTAAATCAGTAATGTGACGCATAAGTAATTTACAATGGGAGGTTCCACCCTGTGTGACATATAAATTGTTGGTGGCTCTACATAAAACTGAAATAGTATTTTATGTAAGTTGTGGAAGTTCACTAGGGACAGAATAAATGCATGTCCCGTATTTCAGGTTCTCAGGATTTTAAAATATACAAACTACAGTGTATAAACTTTCAGAAAATGTAAGTTTAAATTCTGTGCAAATTTTGTTTGGGTATACTGAAGCAGGAGACTGATATTAGGTTTGTATTGGCCCTTTCAGTTTTACATAAATGTCATTTGAAGCAAAATGTTGTCTTGAAATTAACCTGTGAGCTATAGCAGCTTTCAACATTCAATTATCACGATCCTTGAAAAATGTGTCCTAAAACTTGCATTCTCATATATTCTGTTAAAAACTTGTTTTACTTTATCTTATAAGGTTAGTGTATTGTTCTGTATAGAGTATAACTGATCTGATGTTTCTGTGCACATTGCATTGGTAGTAGGCTTACAGTCTGGTATTGAGTGGAACATGGACACACTATCCACCATTTAAGTGTAAAATGCGGTTATTTGAAAATTCTATAATGTTAACACATGAGATGGAAAAAAAGTATCTCACAAAGAGTAATTCTAAACATTAGCTTATAAAAAGGTATTGATACTTTTGTTATTTCAGTTAGAGACTCATGACAATCATTTAGATGAAGATCGTCTTCATGGTAGAGTTAGAACAGAAGAGGAGATGAATGAGGAAGCTGCACAACTACGCGCTTATTTCAGTTGATAATTTTTGCCCCATATCTCACAGCCATAATGGAGTTTTTGTGATATATCTGACATTCTTAGTTTAAGGTGTATGATTTACTGTTTGTTTCAATTCAGTCACCTTCGCCGTCATCTTCAAATACAAATTTATCTTCACAATTAAGTTGATGACTCCTATAAAAATGCTTAATATTACTTTTGTTCGTTTAGTTAATACAATTTGCTTTTCATTTTAGTTTCTCAGATCGTGAAGGAAATGTTTTAACTGAACTGTAGCTAAATAAATATATGTTTTTAAGTGTTCAGACCTCTGGAAGGTCCATTTTTATAAATGAATTTTTAGGTTGACTATTCAAATATGGCCTTTTATGAACTTAGAAAATATGTGGTTAGAGTTTTGTGAGCAAGGTATATTATTGAAGGTTTTTACTTAAAACTATACAAAATTTTGAAATTGAAGGTCCCTTTTAAGTACTCATAACTGTTGATTTGACTGAATTATGGCACAGCTAATTATACATTGAGCATGGCTTTTTGATGGAATTATAGCCATTTGTATACTTTGAAAATTCTTTGTTAGTTTCACATGTAAAATTACTATTCACCATTACTGAAGAAGGATCATAATTGTAGGTCAATTTATTAAATATGTATTTTGATTAAAATTTTCCTCTTTGTTAATTGCTACATTATCCAGACTCTTGTTTTACTATCAAGCATAGAGAATAGTCATCCTTTTTACAGCTTTTGTTAAGATTTTGTATTTAATATGATTAGCTGCCTTTTGTCGGTGATTTTATCATGTTCAATCATAACAAAACATGCGAGCCTCTTTGTCATTTATATAGTTGTATTTTATCATGTTTAAATGGTATTGAAATGATTACTGGGTATACAATTTTAAAGTGATTTGTTATTTTTTCATTTACAATTACATGAAGAAATATATTTTTTCTTGGGCTGGCAATAATTACCAATTTAGTACTCAGCCATTTTTCCAGTTGAGTATTCAGTTACTAAGAAGATTTCTTAAGACTTTTAAGATGTATAATCATTTTCCATTTCTGTCAAACCAGCCACAAGAAGGTAGATGGTAGCTTACCTTTTATCAGATCTCGCCATACAAACCCATCAGTAAAGCACAGTCTTGCAAGATTCCCTTTGTTAGTTAAGAATGAAGAGTAATAATCACTTACTTATTGTATATAATATATTTAAAGGGGTATAAGTTTATAAATTGCTGTATATATTGTTGTAGATGGACTTCTATTTACGAATAAAACAGTAATATATAATATATTCAGTGCCTTTCTTTTCTGTTTACAATTAATACACATTAAATTTTACCATTTGTTTCTCCATGGCTGTTTGGTTAAGGTTGTTGACTTGGAATGACTCACCCATCACTGCTGAGGGAAGGTCGGTGGAACTACTCCCGTGTCTGATCAAACTGATGCATTGGAGGTCTTCCTGCATTAGTATGCCTTGACAGTTTCCATAAGCTTTAGCTTATAGTTTTTACAAATTTATTTTAGTTTGATTGTGTTGGAAGCTTATTGAAACACTCTCGAATCTGTTCCTGGAACTAACCAGTACTCAATAGTAAGTGTTAAGTTTCCTGCTCATAGAACAATGGCTTGCCTCTGACAAGGTTTGAATCCTTTAGGCCAGCAATCCTTAGATTAGTAGTCTGACATGGTAACCAATAGGCCATGCCATCTTTCATGAAATTCACAATTTCATTTTTAAACAAAACGACTGAATCTAGTTCATATATTAAAAAGATATATAAACAACATTATGGATTATTTCTGATGGGCAAAAATCAAATGTTGGATTTTCCAAGGATAAGTGTCATTTTTGACTTGTCCGATTTATGGAAAATTTTGAGCTATAAAGATAGGACTGCATTGTCATTGGATGTAGCCCATTACTCAAACACAAAGTATCAATGAAACTTGAAATTCTAGCTTGGAGTTATGCCCCTTTTTAACATATTTTTTAAAAAATATTGCTTATTGTGTGGAATGATTTCAAAACTATCAATACACGAATCTGGGAACTTCCTTATCATAAGAAGGCACAATTTAAGGACAAAGGACATTATTCTCAAAGCAATATATACTATATAGGAGTTGTGCCCCTTTTTTCGACTTAATATATTTGTAAAAGTTGATTATTGATTGAAAATTGTAGAATATTTTACTCACTCTTGGCAAACTAGTACTTGCTAAAAGGAACAAAGTATGTCTGCAGGATTTAAAGGAACATAATTGATCAGTATATCTATAGTAATTCCATTTTTTTTTGTATGGAAAATACTAGGAATTAAACTTTTTTTCTTGAACATTTATTATCACAATATTGTTCATCTTATTCAGAATTAAAGTGCATTAGTCATAAAACAATAAAACTCTTGAATTACATAAATTTCAAATGTTGCCCTACACAGACAAGGTCTTTTTATTACTTTTTGATTTTGAGTAAACAAGATTTTTTAGCCAAATGTACAGGAGCATAATTGAGTGTTCATAAGTGCTGCTTTTCTATTGCATAATCTATATTAAAGAGTGAGTTTGGTGATGTAACAATCTGGGCGAATGATTTTATACTATACTGTGCAGTCTGAACATTTCGTCACTTGAAAATAAAATATCATTGAAATAAATAGGGCACAATTTTTTTAGAAAATCTACAAACAAAAAATATGCAGGTATTTCTTGTTGACGATATCAGGGAATTTCTATTAAAGCTCTAGTGTTGAGCAAATGTCTTCCTTGTTTCCTACAGCATAAGCTAAGCTTTAATATGACTGATATTTAGTTTTTTTGACAGTTAATAAAACAGCCTCTATCTTCTGCTGTTTTGTCTCATAAATTCCAAAGATTTCCAGGAATTGTATTTCCAGTGTTTTTGGTCATGTTTTATGTACACATTATGCCTCAGAAATCCATATTTTTTAATTGTTTGGAAATGTCAAACATGATTAATTATGGATTTAGAGAATGTAAGATATTTTACAACTGAAGAAACTAGCAATGAATGTGAAATAATGTGTTATAAAGGTAGCAAAATGTTAACAAGATTGTATTTTGACTTCCATACCAAATACTAATTCACTATAATTATACCAATTGACAACAGAGCAAAGAAAGCATTAAGACAGTTCCCCTATGTGGCAAATGAGTATTTCTTTTGAAACTAACAAGAGACCAAAAATAAAGTTTTTGAGAAATAAAAATGATAGCATTTCTGAGGCATAATGGGCCTTTAAAGAACAATCTGTGGTAATATGGGAATCTTCATCATATGACTTCGCTGAGAATTCTTTTCAATACTGTCATAGACAGATATAATTGAGCCGCATCACGAAAAAACCAACATTATGCGTTTGCGACCAGCATGGATCCGACCAGCCTGCGCATCCGCGCAGTCTGATCAGGATCCATGCTGTTCGCTTACAAACTCTATACCAAGTTGAGAAACTAATATTGAACAGCATGGATCTTGACCAGACTGCACGGATGCGCATATTTTTAACTCTTACCAAGCTTAATATCGTAAATGGACTTGTCCACCTTTCAATCTGGACCAAACCATTAATCATTTCTAGTGAAAATTTGTACTTCTAATGATGCATGATGATTAGACGGCAAGATAATGCACTATTCGGATGGGTAGACTCTTTAGAAGCCAGCTGGTAATGGGTTAAAGTAGCATGCCTCCAGATTTGTGTTCATTTTTATGAAAACTTGAAAATTATTCTTATGAGTAAGTGTACAAAGATAATGAATAAACCCTAACTCTCTATTACACCTGGGCAATATTTTAGTGTTAAAAAAGTCAATTTTTTTCATAATATTTAAAGTCTCACCTGGATTGTGCATATCTACATGTATACCTATCTCAAAATAAATAAAATTTTATAAAGTTTAATTTCGTAAGACTTTTATTACTCATCTGCAGGCATGCTGCTTTAATAACATATAGAGGAAGCTGAACTTCATTGAATATGTTTTATGAAAAAAACAAAACAAACACGTGTTTTCTAGATATAAACTGTACAAAATGTTTTATTCAACATAGCTATGACAACGAAAACTACAGTTTTGTCATGGAATTCAAAACAGGGGAATTCTGGGATCGCCGTCTCTTACAGCATTGAAAATAATGCTGCTTACAGCTTGGACAAAAACAAAAGTCCAACGATAAAAACTGGAGGAAAAAAAACAACAAGATATCCAACATGTAATCCAGAACTGGTATTGATCAGATGATACAAAATGCAAATAGGTTCAATGAATTTAATACTAAAGTTTTTAAGTTTTTTTTTTTTACTTTTAACTGCTTTATGATTTTGCGTAGGAATAAAATGAAAAAAACTTAAATTTATATTCAGTGAAGTATGAAAATACTTTACAAACAGCAAAATGAGAAATATTTCCAAGTTACCAGGAATATACTAGGCCTATATTTAACTTGAACCACTAGCACTTTTGTTCTTTTATTCTCTTTCAAACTTATTTCTCTCTAATAAATTTACATGTTGATACTACATGTATTTCTTTTCCAATTAGGGTGACACAAGTAAATTGGTGTAAACACAATTTTTTGTACATGTATACTAAATGTATACAAAAAGAAAACAAATATATGACATAAATACAAAGACAAAATGTACCGAGGGTTAAATAAATAAATCATAACAGGTCAATATTACAAAAAATAGTAAAAGTAGGAACAAATTTTCACCCTGCATAACATGTCATACATAGTAAAAATGGCAAAAAACAACGTTATTTTTCACTTGCAAACTTCTACTAATCAAGCTATATTAAAATTTCTACACGAAACAATCCCTAATCTATGTACATGACAAAAAAAATTGTTAAAATGTAATCAATTATGTTAAAACATATCAATATTAGGAAATAAAATATGTTATAACAATACTATTTTTTTTTCAAAAACATACAACTTCTGTACATGTAAAAAAACAAAAGTTAAAAATGACAATAATAAATGATGATGTTTATTTTATATGAGATAAAGAATGGAAATGTACCTGTAGAGTATGTATATAGCTATATATCTCTAGAATTCTATACAGAAAATAAATGAGTGTAGCAAGTGAAGGCTACAAAAGTGCTGAAATTCCATGGGTGAAAATTTTTATGACTCTGATTTAAGGATATTTTAGACTCCCAAAAGCAAAACTTTAAACAAAATTGGTGTATAAAAGAGTTTTTTCAACATTTGTAAAATACAATGTATTAAACTTTCACCCATGGAATTCCATGAAAGTGCTAGAATTCTATGAAAGTAAGATGTCTGAAATACAGTGAAGATGGTTTTTTTTAAGGGTCACGCACCTACAAATATTTTGAAGTTAAATTCAGATTTTTATACAGCTTTTCTGTATTTTAATATAAAGTTTATATTGATGTTATTTAGACAGATAAATAAATCTTTTAAGTAGATTTCAATGGACATTTATAT